CTGTAGCAGTATGAAGCTTCCAAGATAGCACAGGCGACGTCCTGAAGGCGGGATATTCTCCTCGAGGTGGTAGATGTAACCGTCAGTCACTTTCAGAAGAAAATATGGCCTTCCCATTCAAGGAACGTCGGGTCCACCCTATCAACCCGCGCCTTGGCGACTGTGGTGAAGATGATGTCCTGGACCGTAGCGACGTTGTCGGAGCTGCTCGATGTTGGAGGTCTTCAGATCAAGAGTGCTGGTCTCCAGGTAGCTGTCCATGGGTGACTCCATACAAGAACCTTCGCAGCTGTTTGGAGGTGACGTAAATTCCATAGGCCTTCTCCAGTCCGGTTGCGATTGGAGATGGCTTCAAATTTCGGTGTACATGATGTCGACGGACAAGGGGGTGCTCCCGCCTATTGAGGAACATTTTAGATACCTTCCGTCCTGGTACACGTATCCACGTTTCCTGTCTGGGCTGCGTAAACTTCCTTGTATGTGACTCTGGCAAAAGTGTTCCCCCCTCTCCCCCTCTCCCCCCCCCGTATACCGCCCACCTCTATATCGCATTATGGAAAGAAAAAGGTCGCTATAACGTCCGCTATAAACTTGTAGCTCTTTCTGGCGCACTTCATCCGTTCTTATCAGTGATTCACATCCACTTCACATAACAAAAGTTCTCGTAGACGCCCACTTATGCACAGAATCGAGCTCCGTCCTTCCGTAACGCCCACTATTTGCGATTTTGCGAAATTCCGATAATTTTTTCCTAAATTGCTGCGTTTTGTGACCCCACCCAGTACGATAAGCGCCGCCTACTCCGTAGAAGTCCCGCCTTTTCAAAGTGCTTCATATCAGCAGGTCAGAGTCTTACCTAGTAGGGGTCTCTTTGTCCTCTGAACAAACCTTGCCTGCTTTTTGCTTTGGGGTGACGAGTGAAACCCTGGCCTAAAGATGGGACTACCCTCTCACAAGTTTCAAAACATTGCGGTTCACTGCCGATATCTTGAAGACATCAATATCCTGCAAAAATCCTGCAAAATGATGCAAAAGGCGAGGCTGAATGGTGGAGCTAATGTGGCGCACGCATGCGGCTATGAGCATCACTGTCTTAACACATGGTACGCTCAAACACATTGAGGGTGTATGAGACTATCAGCCCCCAGCTGTCGATGTGTCGTGGTCCCCCCGCCCAAACATGCCCAGGAATGGAGATACAGGACCGTGAAACACGCTAATTCCTCCATGCTCCGCCTTACACCTTTTTGCGGCGCAGATTCCCGTCCTTCATAACATCCGTCGTAGCGCGCGTGTCGCGTGCGGCTCCTTGGCACTTTGCCAAGTCCTTTAATTGCGCTCTCAAATACGAGTAAAACGCAATTTCCTGATGCGGATAACATTGGAGGTGCTACAAAATAAGAACAGAAGATGATGACAAGGGCCAGAACTCAAGAGCAACTCGGCTGCATCTGCAGTATCCATCCGCGCACTCCCACAAAACATAGGAATAAGCGTCCCACTCGTTTGCTCTAAGTATTTCTATGGCTTTGGCGCCATATTCGCGCCGGATCGTAGAAATTTACAGCGATTTCAACTAATTTGCCTTTCCTTGATTTTTTCATTTTTGTTTTATTTACATTTACATCGTGTGCTTCATTTCTAGCCTGTGTCATCTTCATCTCCTTGTACATGGATTTTGAAGCATGAGCAACACCTCAAATTTTATTCGCATCAGGAAACTGCGTTTTGCTTGTATTGAACTAACGAATGAGGCGCTTAGCCGTTTTTATTTTCATGTTTCGTGGAAATACGCGGCCTCCGAGGGATGTTGCAGAAGTGGCACAGTTGCTTTTAAGTTCTGACCCTCGTCATCATCTTCTGTTCTTATTTTGCAGCACCTCCAATGTTATCCGCATCAGGAAATTGCGTTTTACTTGTATTTGAGAGCGCAATTAAAGGACTTGGCAAAGTGCCAAGGAGCCGCACGCGACACGCGCGCTTACGACGGATGTTATGAAGGACGGGAATCTGCGCCGCAAAAAGGTGTAAGGCGGAGCATGGAGGAATTAGCGTGCTTTCACGGTCCTGTATCTCCATTCCTGGGCATGTCTTGGGTGGGGGGACCACGACACATCGACACCTGGGGGGCTGATAGTCTCATACACCCAACTGTTTTCGAGCGTACCGTGTGCTTTAGAGAAATATTCAAGTTGAAAAAAAGTTATGAATATTTGGAATTACCGACGGATACCCTAGGAAGTGGGAGGAGTCGAAGTTGCTAAAAGTTCTTTACACAGTCAAAGCATCCTAAACAACTGGTACTCTTTATGTCTTCGCCAAATAGACCTACCAGTTTTGTGGGGAAAAGTGATCGTCGTCGAAGTTTGTAGGGGAGTGGACTCCTTTAGCACGTCTCAACAGCCGTGCGTACTGTCGTTCCATGAAGCACTTTAGGTTCTGTAAAAAAAACATTCTGAGTAGTTCCCGACGCGATTCTAATGCCGCATTCATGTATCACATCGTATTTTAGCAGAGTACTGTCTTACCGACTTACACCTGTTACAGCGATTCGGGAACTTCTTCCAGGTCTTCTCCCTGGAATTAACAACAGTCATAAGAATTGGAAGATACAATATAGCTAGCTTATTTCTTGAGGTTAACGTAGCCAAAGATACTCAGTTCTCCTTCTCATCAGTTTCTGCCCAGTAGCTCATTCAAGTACTGACAGCCAAACCTGCATGTACATGGGTCGGAATACTGGCATGCCACTTTGAGTAGAAAACAAGGGCAGGTAGAAAAGAGCTCAATATTCTTTTTCCGAATCAGCTATGCACATGGAACACCGAAAAATGCAGAAACTTTGATATGGATCTCAGTGAGAAGGAGGGTTGGGTTAATTTTTTCGACTTAGCCTCTTGAATATTAGTTTTTCTGGAGAATGGGCAGGCCTTTGCCTCAAAGGAAAATTACGTTGATCTCATAAGCATGCCTCACTTCGCCGATAAACAAAATTTCGAGCTCTGTCCGCTCTTATGGATTTCATAGACCTGTCTGAATTCTAACCTGAGGCATTTATCCGCAAATCCGGAGACAAATTTCTCGAGAGGGTCCCGCACCACCGCTATTTTGTGCCAATCACTGGTACTGCTCGTCATATTCCTCTCGATCTCGGCCAGGGTACTGTACTCATTCCTCCGAGCGCAAAATCTGGAAAAACCGGTGCTCTACAGGACGAAAAGTATTGCAATGTGAGTACAGGGCTTATTTATGTGTAGGACACAAGAGAAATTTGTGGTAATATTCAAGTGCGATGAGCGACTCTGACAACTGAAGGCATGGCCTGCGATCGCGTATAGAAGTAGAAAATATGGCGTCATTGCACAGAACTCCTATCCATGTGCCTATTCCTGGCCACACGCATAACTTGCATACCAGCCATTTGTCCTTTCTCAGTTCAGTGCAAGAAAGATCCACCTTCTGACACACGAGGGGCGCATAGTAGCGCAGGAGCACACAGGTTCATAACCTCTTTTTTGTGACTGCCTCCACACTCTGCCTTCAAGATCCGTTTCAGGAAAAACGAAGCAGCGCGAAGAAAAAATCGTCGTTGGAACGGTCGTAGAGCTCAAATCGAGGAAGGCTATGTGACAAGCAATCTTTGGTAGGGGTCCTGCTGCAAAAAGCTGGAGCGCAGACAAACAAAGAACTGTGGCTGCTGCCGCATAGAGAGGTACAAAAAAACATGTCGCGAGCAAGAGAGACAACTTTTTTCCAAAGCACCGGGATGGACGAGTCACCTATTATGCGTGGAAGAATCGGGGCGTTGAAGGTCAGAATAGTTACAAAACGCTAGCAGACGTGGATGCTGAGAAAAACAAAAGTTTGGTTCATTGAGAATTCGTTCGAGTTGTTCATGGACCGTTCCTAGAATTAGCTGTGTGAGGGGCAGCACTTGAAATTGAGTTGGTTGGGCACGTGCAAAATGAGGTCTACCTAGGGTAGTTGACCACTTCTTCTGCTTTTTTCTTTACTATCGAGTTACACAGCACCTTGTCGTCTACATGCGTACCCTGACCCACTCTCTAAGATGGCGAACTTATCCCGAGTTTTTTCTTGAAAATGCGTGAAAGTTTAGAAGGCAGTTCACACCTTCCATCATAAGGACCTCCAACCAGGTCACCAGTGTTTACCACCTCAGCTTCTGCAAGGAGTGTAAATTTCTTGCTTGGTGGAATTTCTAGTGTTTTTCAGCTGAAACTGATGTCTGCGAATCATTCCTTGTCGTAGGTCTAGATTACGCCCCAATCTTAGAGATAAACAGCTCGGAATGGAAACCACCTTTTCACAGCTTGAAGGTCTAGTAGGCACAACTTAGGCAGCGTTCAGACTTCGCGACAGCAGTCCCAGCCGCGCCTTTGACTCGATCGATGCTGTCGAAAGAATGCGCATCGATTGCTCGAACGCGCGACCGAGGCGCTGCATTCGAGAAGTCTGAACGCTGCTAACGTTATGAATCGGCATCCTGGTGTTACAACAATAGAGCAATCGAAAGTCTGGTACGACTCGGCTATCCTCACAAGGGAGGATGGTAGGTCGAAGTGGCCATTTGAAATGAGATGTATACCGACTGAAGGGTCTTTGGACGGGATTACGAAACCGTCTTCCATATCTGCTGCGGACCTCCCAGAACAAAGTTACGGGGCCATTTTAGGGGGAGCATAGTGGCATTCAATACGAATTAGCGGCGTGAGGCTTCACCGCTCGAAGCGGCGTGGCCGAGTGGATACGTTGCAGGTCTCGCGGTCACATTGTCGAGGGTTTGGATCCTTGATGCGTTTTCTGTTTTGCATTTTTTCAACAATGGTCTCTATGCATTAAAAAGCATTTTTGCATAATACTTGTGCTCGAGAATGCCGCCAAAGAATGTTTCTGAACTAATGGAGCCATTGTGAACAGCTCCATGCAGAACATTCTTGGCTGTTGAACTTGTCACAGACTTCCAGCAGGTGCGAAAGCACCACTTTGGGATAGAACATCTTTCAACACTATGGGAGTGATGGATGAAGGTTTCTCCCATTGTGAACTCCGCAGTCACTCCAAAGCCACGTCGTGGGAAAGCCTTTTCAAGGATACTCATCTTTGCGCACAACTTCGTGTGGTTTCGGGTCCAGCCATGTCGTTCGGAGAATAAAGCCATTCATCAAGGCAAGCACATTCGTTGGAGTGCATTCCTTTTGTACAAAAATAAGCTCTT